TTAAAAAAAATTAAGAATCAGATAAAATTAGACAAAAAATCAGCCAAAAGAAAAAAAGAAAGAGAGGGCAGGCATGTTAGAATAAAGGCACCCACATGACTATCAAAGGAGTCTGAGTGGCCCGGCCAGTGTGGCTCAGCGGTTGAGTTTCGACCTATGAATCAGGAGGTCACGGTTTGATTCCTGGTCAGGGCATATGCCCAGGTTGTAGGCTCGATCCCCAGTGAGGGGTGTGTAGGAGGCAGCCTATTAATGATTCTTATCATTGATGCTTCTCTCTCTTTTTGCCTTCCTCTCTAAAATCAATACAATTATATTTAAAAAAAATCTGTCAGATGGATTGCCTTTCTATTAAAAAATAAGTTACAAATATCGACTTTAGAATTAACTCATTCAATAAGTATTTATAGAATAACTAGTATGTGCCAGTTTTAAAAGAAACAGAAAACTTGAGTTGATCAATAATCATAGAAAAAATGGAGAAAAATGTCAAAAATTAAATATGATTACTTATTGATTTTTTCAATAAATATGTCTTATGAGGATATTCTAAAGTACTAGCATTGTGCGAGGAGCTGAGGACAGAATGGTGCATAAGATATTTAACTTAGTAGGTTCAAAGACCAAAAAGGAGGTGTATCTGGAGCTGATGGGACCGGAGTGGGTGAAAGCCAGCTCACCAGGACCTCATAGGCCATAGAGAAAATTTCCATTTCATTTTGAATGCAGTGGAGAATCATTAAAGGGCCTTAGAAGAGTAACATAATGGGGCTGTTTTTTAAAAAGATCACCCTGATTGTTGTGTAAAGAAGAAAATTTAGGGGGCAAGAAAGGAAATGGTGAGACCAGCTAGGAAACAATTAAAGGAAGATGGCAGTGTGGCCTGGGATGGTGACCATGTTGCTGAGGAGCTACGAGTAAATGAGACCCATTTTGAACCAGTTAAGACTTGCTGATAGAGTGGATGAAGGAGTGAGAGTTAACTAGGTTTGTGCCTTTGTGTCCAGGCCCATGGTGGCAATGAATTAGGGGAAACTGGTGGAGGGCCATGTTTGGGAGAGAAAACCAAGAGTTTTAGTTGGGACACATTAATTTTGCTCCACCTATGAGACACTGAAGTGGAAGTATGAATTGGGGCAATTGTTAAAAGAATCTGGAACTTAGTAGAGATAAGCATTTGGGCATCTTCACCTGAGAAGTAGTGTTAACAGAAAACTTGAACTGATCAATAATCAAGCCAAAGGGATAAAGGTCAAGATTCAAACTCCAGTATTTCGAGTTGATCTTGCTCTGTTACCCAGCCTCCCGCAATACGGGTGACAAAACCTAAAAGAAAATACCACCAAACTGACTTCAACATTTTAGTAAAAGAAGAATACATTGTGACCAATAAGGTTTATTTAAGGAATACAAGGATGGTTCAAAACCAGGAAATCTATTAATAGGTTAAGAGATAAAAAAAAGATTCTCTGCTAATGTTGAAAAGTTTTTAATTAAAATCAACATTCATTTCTGATTTTCAAAGTTGAAGTTGTTAAAATGGTTTCTACAGAACTAGAAGGTAGTCCCTTTCCATCAACAAGAATCACTATCACAACATATAGCCCACACCCTATCTTAATTAAAAAAGGAAAAGCATTCTCATTAATGTAGTAAACAAGGTAAGAATGCAAGCAATCACTCTTGTTATAGAATTTTTAACCAGGTATGTTTTTCTACCTGGAAAATCAACCCAAAGCATCTCAAAATACACAAGTGAGCCTATTAGGGTGGCAGTTTTTGAAATCAATATTTAACAAAAGAGTCCCCAAATTAACTGGAATTAAGTTAGATTTAGCATGGAAAAAACAATCCACCCATAATGACAAAATAAATATGCCTTCCAAAAATAAATAAATAAATAAATAAATAAATAAATAAATAAATAAATAAATAAATCTAAGAGTTAATCTAATAAATAGTACTTTTGTGAGGAATGTGATAAAATTTTAATTAAAGACATAAAGGAAAACTAGGAAAAAAGAGAAAGACATAAAGTCTTTGGTTGGGAAAACCAATACTGAAAGATACCACTTCATTTCAAAATAATCCAGAAAGTTAACATAGTTTTAGTAAGAATTCAAAGGAGATTTCAAAGAACATGAGGAAATGATACTCAAAATTAAGAAGACTGAAGAAACTATTGAACAGGAAGAAAATCTAGGGCACACTTAGCCTGCCAGGTATTAGAATGCATTGCAAAGCTGCAATAAATAAGATCACATGGCATTGGCACATGAACAGAATGACAGAGCAATGGAACTACAGAAGGTCCAAAAAAAGATCCATAGATTACCCCAATCATCCTATTCCCTCCCATGTGTACAAGGAGTCAGAGCCGGTAGGAATCTGCCCAGTGGTTGTATGCCAGGGGTCAAATTTCTGATACTCATAACATGTTACAACTTGAAACCTAGTTAAATTGGGAAGTGGCACCAAACAGCGTCCCCACCAATCCCCACCGCCCTGAGGAAATTTCCTGAGTTAAGTAGAACTCATTTGTTATACAGTAGATCCTCCTTATCTGTGGGGAATACATTCTAAGACTCCTAGTGGATGCCTGAAACCATGGATAGTACTGAAACTTACATATACTATTTTTTTTTTCTGTATATACTTATCTATGGTAAATTTGATTTATAAAATAGGCACACTAACAGACCATTAACAGCTGATAATAAAATAGAACAATTTTAACAATATACTATAATAAAAGTTATGTAAATGTGGTCTCTCTCTTCTCTCAAAATATCATCCTTGCCCTAGCTGGTCTGACTCAGCATCAGCCAGAGGACTGAAGGGTCCAGGGCTTGATTCCAGTCAAGGGCATGCACCTTGGGTGTAGGCTTGATCCCCTGTGCTGGTCAGGGCACGTGTGGGAGGCAACCAATTGACGTCTCTCTCACACTGATGTTTCTCTCCGTCTCTCCTCCATCCCTTCTACTCTCTCTAAAAATCAATGAAAAAAATATCCTCGGGTGAGGATTAACAACAACAACAAAAAATATATATTTCACCCTTCGTGATGTGAGATGATATAATGCCTATGTGACAAGATGAACTGAGGTGCTCAGACCTGTGTTCAATTTAAAACTCATGACTTGCTTATTTCTGGGAGTTTTCCATGTAATATTTTCAAACTGAGGTTTACCATGGGTAACTGAAACTGCAGAAAGCAAAACCATGGATAAAAGGGGACTACTGTATTTTAATTTTTTTGAGGTCATTGCCCTTTACAGAATCTGATGCAAGCTATACCAAATTTTGCAAAGTATTTTGGGCTTTTCACTACTCTGAAGCCCAGTTCTGGATTGAACAGGGCAAAGGCCCCGAACCTGATCCATCTCAGAATTACTTACGGAGCTTTTAAAAAGCAACATTGCTGGAGCCTATCCCAGGCCAGCAGCCAGGGAGTTTCTAGTGATGGGATTTGGGACTTTACAATAAAACTTCCCTGGGAATTGCGCTTCTAGCCAGGCTTCGGAGCTAGGTCCTCAGAAGCCCAACGCTTAACATTATAATGCTTTTCATAAAACGGCACACCTCCCTTGATGTGATCACATAATACAATGACAGTAGTAAGTAGAATACCAGAAGTAAAAAGATGAACAAATTGAGAAGAAAATTCTCCCCACTGTAGGAACTGCTACACACACTATTTACTCAAGGATGACTTTATAATGCTGTAGCCATAAGCTCATTAGATACAGGCATGCTCTGAATGTTTAATACAAGGCAGTTCACAGCTGATATAGTCATCTTGGAAGAGGAAATAAGATCCGAAAAGGGAGAATGGGATAGGTAAATTAAAACTACAGCTTAGCAAAACTTTCCCCTCAAAACTTTTCATCAGTTGGTTGATAGTCACCTTCAGAGTTAATTTGGTGCAGGAATGTTTACGTTATTGTTTTATTTTTATACTAGAGGCCGAGTGCACAAAATTTGTGCAGGAGTGATGCTCCCCTCAGCCCAGCCTGCACCCTCTCCAAACTGGGACATCCCTCTCACAATCCTGGACTGCTGGCTCCTAATCGCTTACCTGCCTGCCTGACTGCCTGGTTGCCCCCAACTGCCCCTCCCCCCGCCATCCTGGTCACCCCTTACTGCCCCCCCTGCCGGCCTGGTCACCCTCAACTGCCCCCCCTTGCTGTCCTGGTTGCCCCTCATGCCCCCCCTCCCCCCCGCCCCCACTGGCCTGGTTGTCCCATGCAGCCTGCTGCTCAGTCATTTGGTCATCCCTCACTAGCCCCCCTGTCGGCCTGGTTGCCCCATGCATCCTGCTTGTTCAGTCATCGTTTGGTCTTTCCTCACTAACCCCCTTGCTGGCCTGGTTGTAGGCAGCCATCTTGTGAGGTCATGAGGGTTAATTTGCATATTACCTCTTTATTATATAGGATTTTCAGTTTTTTAAAGTTTATCTTTATTGTTCAAAGTATTACAGATGTCCCTCTCCCCAACCCCTGCTCCCCGCCTCCCATTGACCCTCTCCACCCTATTCCCCTCCCCCACACCCAGGCCTTCACAGCACTATAATTTTTTTGAGAAAATTCCATACTGTTTTCCATTGGCTGCACCAGTCTGCATTCCCATTATCTACTTTCATCTATTTCTTTAGCCCCAGGCAAGTTACTTTTGTGGCCCTCTTTCTAATGTCTTGACAATTTCTTCAAAATAAGTTTTCTGACTTGTAAACAAAAGATTATCAATTCAGTGCTTTTTTTTTTATTATTTTTAAATGGCTGCTGCCTTATATAATTCAGCATGATTCTAGAGAAAACTGTGGCCTTTTCTCTGCAAAATCAAGCTGATTTTACAAGAAAGGGTGTTGCTATAGGTGTGAGGTACACATACAGGTCTCCAGAGCAGGAGCTTGTGATCACAGCCTTTCTAGACCCTATTTTCTGAGACAATTGGGGACTTTCAACCATCACAAGACCAAAGACATTCCACAGGGTACGTACATCTGTTGTGGCTCAGCTAAGTTGGATCTGTGCCTCCAGGAAGACGCTTCTTCGGCTTGGCTGAAATTGTTCAGTTTTCAAATATACTCAGGAGACCTTAAAAACAAAAAGAAAAAAACTGGAACTGGTAAATAAATCTGAAATATGATCCCTTAAAAGAAAAGCTTAATATATAAATTTTCAAACCACCAATAAATCTATTCCTGAAAAGGGGAAATATTTGATAAGAGAAATGAGGTCAGCTAAAAAAGCAAACATGACACTGAGATCATTCTTTCACACATAAAAAGCAGAGTCCATTTCATTGAAAAAGTTATTTAGAAAAGCAATACATCAACAAAATTAAAATCACCTAGAATTATTAAAACTTCCTTGTTTTTTTTTGCCAAAGCCGGTTTGGCTCAGTGGATAGAGCGTCAGCCTGCGGACTGAAAGGTCCCAGGTTCGATTCCGGTCAGGGGCATGTACCTGGGTTGCGGGCATATCCCCAGTAGGAGATGTGCAGGAGGCAGCTGATCGATGTTTCTCTCCCATCGATGTTTCTAACTCTCTATCTCTCTCCCTTCCTCTCTGTAAAAAATCAATAAAATATATAAAAAAAAAAACAAACTTCCTTGTTTTTGCTTTTCCTTTTAGATTTTGCACATATGCACTCATTATAAATAGTTTAGTCACCTGCACTTAGACCTGTCAGTTTCTTCCCATGTACCACAGGCTTTAAATTATGACTTTTGATGATTACATAAGTTCCATTCTGTTAATATGCCATGATTTCTTAGCTCTGCAGTCACACATTTAGATTGTTTCCCATTTGGTTCTAATTTTGTATCATTCTGCCCCAAATATGTGCTTGTTATTTTATTTTGTTTGGCTTCCATTGCCAAGTAAATGCCCAGGAATGAGATTTCTGGGTCATAGCTTCTAACTTCTTAATGTGTGACCTGATTGCTTTACAAAAAAGTTTAACATACTGATTATGTCATACCCCACCGGGTTGCCCCTCATGGCCCCCCCCCCCCCCAGTGGGGTGTGACTAAGGAAATAAATGTATATATACCAATGGTCTACTTTACATAGATGGTTAAAGTTAATCTTTAACAAACTCTGGAAGTAGGTATCCTTTCCTCTATTTTATGAATGGACAAAAGAAGGACTAGGAAATTAGGTAACTGGCCCAGTCATGACGGCAGTTGCAGAGCTATCTTTCTAACCTCAAAGGCCTGCCACCTCCCCAGATAACTGGAATATGCAAATTGCAGGGGTTGCTGTTAACAAGTAAAATGAAAATCCAGACTTGCTGTACTTTGTGTTTTATTCTGTAAATGATTCATCATTTCACCATTTATCTGTTATAATCTTGACATTTTCTTTTCACGAGTATGAAAAACTTGTGTCAGGTACAAATAATACATAAATCACATCCTAGCTCTGCTTTCTTTCGCTTTCCAGTTAGTTCTTGTTTTATTATAAGAGCCCCTCAGTGTTTGTGTGGATAAAAATGTTCCTTTTCACTGTTTTCTTTCCCTTCAAATTTGAGCGAGTCGTTAATTTTTCCAGAAGTCTGACATTTTCATTCAATTTTCTGTTCCTACATTTTCTGATAATTTCATTTGTAAAAATCATTAATCCTATGCTACCTGGAGTTTGTTTTTGTTTTGTTTTTTGTTTTTTTGCAAGGAAAGGGCAACATCTCCAATGCTCAGCTTGGGAGAACTGCGTATTAAACCATGAGGCTCTGAGTACAGAGGATAATCATGATCAGGGGGTGAGGTTGCATTCTGCTATGTATGAACCTGGGGATGATGAAATGAAAAACAAAGCAGAGGCTCTGAGATGGTTAGGGGAGGAGGTGATGGCGGTGGGCTTACGATTTAAAAAAATCTGTTATAGCTTCCACAGAGTAAATGGAAAAAAACAACAACACAAAAGGGGCAGTGCTGCCAGACTTCTCCCCGTTACTTAATAAACAAACGTGAAGGCGCCTCCCGCACAGATGGAGGAGGATGGCTTTGCCAGAGGCGCCGCCGCCCCCCGCCCCCCCCTGCCCCCCCCCCCCCCCCCGCGGAGCCCCTCCAAATGGCTGAGTCCTCTCCTTCCAGAGGAGCAGGAAAGAAAGAGAAAAGCGAAGGCTGCGGGGGCGCCACACGAGGGGCGCAGGAGACCCTCGGCCCCCGAATGGAGGCCAGGGCCACCCCGAGACCCCGCCCCTCCGGGACCCGAGGCGGTGTCTGCGGTCCGGAGGTGGCGGAGCCCTAACGGCAGCGGCCTCCCCAGGGACCGCCTGGCCCGGTGGGTGGCTGGCCCGGCCGCCTCTCGGGAGGAGCTCGGCGGCGGCTGGGGATCCCCAGGAGCCCCCGCCCAGGCGCAGGCGGCAGGCGGGCGCCCTCCCCCACGCCGCGCGCCCCGGGACATCTGCAAGGGCGGCGCCTGGCCCAGGGGCGCCCTGTCCGCGCCCGGCCTCGGCCCGCCAGCTCCGAAGGGCGGCCGAGTGGCGCGGAGCCCGGAGCCCCGAGGACCCCAGCGCCTCCCCGGGCTCTCCTTGCCCAGGGCCCCGAGAGCCTCGGGTTCCCCGGCCACGTTAGTGCGCGGTGATCGCCCCCAGACCCGCCCACTTTCCCGGACCCGCAGCCCTTCGAGTCCTGCGACTCGCCATCCCGCTCCCGCCGTGGACACGCGTGTGGGTGCGTGTGTTCGGGGAGGGGGGGTTGCGGTCAGACACCTCGGTACCACCTACATCCCCACTAGGGGATTTGGCTAGCACGCCCCCACCCCCATTCCGAATGAAAGGGGTGCCCGAACCAGAAAGGCACAACCAGCTGCGTCATCGAACACCACCGCGCACCCCGCAGGCCGGCCGCGCCCCGCGCCACCGCGAAGCCCCCGACCCTCCCCGCCGTCAAGGTCGGCCTCGGGGGCCGGGTCCCCACCCCCGGGTCCACCGCGCGCCCGTTCTCAGGCCCCCGGTGCCCGTCCCCCCGCCGGGAGCTCCGAGGGTGACTTGGCTGTTTACCTGCCTCGGTGGGAGAAGCTGCTCGCTGCGCCGCGGCTGTCAGCGACTGGCGCGGGGCGGGCGGCGCGCGGGCCCAGGAGGCCGTGCGGGGGGCGGGGGAGGCGGCGGCGGGCCAATCGGCGCGCGGCTCGCTCGCACCCGGGCGCACGGCGCGGGGGAGGGGGGTGGCGGGCGCACCAGGGGGCCCGCCGGGTTACCGAAAAGGTGTTGTTCTGCCGAGCAGGGGATCTGAGTCACCAGAAAGAAAACGAGTTGAGATTCGTTTAAACACCTCTGTCAGCTGATACCTCTCCCGGTGTCATCACTACCAGACGTTGCTCATTGACTATTAAAAACCATATTGAAAGGAGAATTCGTCCCAAAGCGCCTACTCCCCTGTTACATAATGGAAAACTCGAGAAAATGGAACGTTGGGGAATGAGAAAGGAATTTCTGGAGCTTGGGCCACCAGAAATTTCTGAGGAGGAAAAAATGTTTGCTACCCTGGTTTGAGCCCAATGTTTGCAAAGTTCCATATAAATCATTAAAATGGGAGGCCTAGGAAGGGGGCCTCTAGCCATCACCTGCTCCTTCATGTAGTCAGTTTCTGCTCCTCCTTATATGCAAAAGAGATGATTTAGATCATGACAGTTACGAATGAGAAAAATGCACGCCGTTGAGCAAGTCCACTCTGCACACTACAGAACGGTGTATTCTTGCTCATTATTCCTGCCAGGAAATCAGGGGTTTGTCTCCCGAAAGGGATGGTCAGCGATGATGCAGTGATAGAAGGACAGGTGGTAGGGTTAGGGGGACCATATAAATTACTATCCAAATTGGGGTGCTTTTGAGAGTGAGAGGAGCACCAAAATTAAGCCGTGTCAAGGAACGTAAACCAGCACTATCCTAGGAAGAGAATGGGACATCTAGCCCCCTCCTTAAGGGCAAAAGTCTCCAAGACAGGATTTGGATTAAATACTTGTATCCCTGGGCCATCACCCAAGTAGGAGGCGATAGAGTGGTGAGGGTCGGGAGAAGCCAGGAGAACTGTACTGAGTGGAGTGCTGTGAAACAGCTGAGGGTGACATGAGTTTGGGTGGGGCCCTGAAAGATCTGCTGGGAAGGGTCTGGAAGATGTGGCTACTGGAGGGAGATCATTCAGTAACAGAGAACTGGATTTTGGGCAGTTAGAAATGAGCATTGGGCAGCAGTGCCAGCCTGTTTTCTATCCATCAGTCTTATGTAATGACTAGAGGCCTGATGCACTAAATTTGTGCAAGAATAGGCCTTCCTTCCCCCGGCTGCTGGCACTGGCTTCCCTCCAGCACCCAGGACCCGGGCTTCCCTCCCAACCCTGGCTTCATCTGAAAGGAAGGACTTCCATCTGGTCTAATTAGCATATTATGCTTTTATTATTATAGACTAGAAGCCCGGTGCACGAAATTCATGCATGCGTAGGCCTGGCTGGTAATCAGGGCTGTTAGGGCCTTCCCACTGCTGGCTGGAACCTTCCTTTGTTCCATGCTACCCCCTGGTGGTCAGGAATCATTATAGCGAGCAACTGAACTCCCAGTCTCCTGGTCAAACTCCCGAGGGGACACTTTGCATATTAGCCTTTTATATATATAGACTAGAGGCCCGGTGCACTAAATTCATGCACTGGGGGGGGGGGATGTCCCTCAGCCCAGCCTGCACCCTCTTCAATCTGGGCCCCTCAGGGGATGTCCAACTGCCGGTTTAGGCCCACAGGGATTGGGCCTAAACCGGCAGTTGGACATCCCTCTCACAATCCAGGACTGCTGGCTCCCAACCGCTAGCCTGCCTGCCTGCTTGATTGCCCCTAACTGCTTCTGCCTGCCAGCCTGATCACACCCTAACCATTCCCCTGCCAGCCTGATCGATGCCTAACTGCTCCCCTGCTGGCCCGATTGCCCCCAACTGCCCTCCCCTGCCAGACCCGGTTCCCCCAACTGCCCTCCACTGCCAGCCTGATCACCCACAACTGCCCTCCCCTGCCGGCTATCTTGTGGTGGCCATCTTGTGCAAGGGCATGATGGTCAATTTGCATATTACCTCTTTATTATATAGGATTATGTTGACAGTACTTATAGAGCCTTACTTCTTTTCTCAGAGATGGCTTATTGGGAAGGTGAAATGGAGCAGTGTAGCATCTCTGAGTCTGGTGCTGGAGTGGGTGACCAGATCAGATTAGGTAAGAGGCTGGCTTCCCCCTGCCATGCGGGACTCTGGAAAGCTTGGTTAGAAGATGCTGAACTCAGCTTTTTGTCACAGGAATTCTACGTCTACTGGCTGAAGGCTCTGCTTCCTTTTCTCCCACCAGGAAAAGGCTCAAAAAGCAGAGAGGATTTTAAAAAGGCAGAGATGAAGGAACCAAAAGGGTTGCCTTATGTCCTATTCTGGCTATTACTGCTATGTAACAACCACCCCCAAGCAACCAACATTTTCCTTTGCCTGTGAATTGTGTAGGCCAGGGAGTCCGACAGGCAGAGGGGTCTTGGCTCTGCCCCATTATACAGCGGGGCCTTGACTTACGAGTGTCCCGACGAACGAGTTTTTCGAGATATGAGCCGTCTCTCGGCTCATTTTTTGCTTTGAGTTGTGAGCTAAAATTCGAGTTATGAGCCAGCTTCAGATACCCCACCGCTAGTTGGTGCAGCGAACGTCACAGTGAACGCCACAACATCAGCCCAGCATCACGTGTCTCACTCGTTCACTTTAAGCGGTTAGCTCTTAGTTGAAACATCAGTGTTGTGCTCGCATTTGTGCTTGCAGTTATTTTGTAAAACTTCATTTTTGGGTGTCCGGAACAGATTAATGGCATTTCAATTCATTGTAATGGTGAAAATTGATTTGACATACGAGTAATTTGAGTTACGAACTCTGTCACGGAACGAATTAAACTCGTAAGTCAAGGCCCCACTGTACTTGAAGACTCAAAATCTGAGAGTGACTTGAGAGCTGAGGGTCAGAATCACTTAAAGCAGTGGTTTTCAACCTTCTGGCCCTTTAAATACAGTTCCTCATGTTGTGACCCAACCATAAAATTATTTTCGTTGCTACTTCATAACGGTAATGCTGCTACTGTTATGAATCGTAATGTAAATATCTGATATGCAGGATGGTCTTAGGCGACCCCTGTGAAAGGGTCATTCGGCCGCCAAAGGGGTCGTGACCCACAGGTTGAGAACCGCTGACTTAGAGGCTCTTTCACTTGCATGACTGACAGCTGGACTAGATGATTAGCTGTGCTGATCAGAGTGCCTCCACATGGCTTCTCCATGAGGCCTGGCTTCTTCCCTACATGGCTGTCTCAGGTTTGATGGATTTCTTACATGGCTTCTTAGGACTCCAAGTGTGTGTTTCAGCAGACAAAATGGAAGCTACATTGCCACTTCCCACCTAGTCTGAGAAATCACGTAATCTCACTTCCACGGCATCCTATTGACCAACGTAGTCATATGTCCACCCAGAATCAAGGGTAGGAGTATAGATCACATCTCTCAGTGGGGGGAGTACCAGAGAATTTGTGATTAAAAAACAAACAAACCCTGCCATATGAGGGTTAGTGGTCTGGCCTGTAGATTCTTAGGGCCTTTCACTGACCTTATGGACCACACCAGGGTGGGCAGCCCACAGAAGGAAGCTTTTTAATGGCCCTACATCGTCCCTCATCCCAAGCCCATTTACAATCTCCTCTCCTGCCGCCACACCACCATATCCCAGGGTAAGCAAGGAAGGCCATTTTCCGGACTTTTACAATATGGCTGAGGCTCTGGGGCTTGCCTGGTGGCCTTATGGACCTCTGCTGTGCTAAGTTTCACATCAAGTCATTCTTCGGAAGACTCCCTTCACATCTCCTGTGTCCTGGCTCAAAGTTATTTGTCAATATTACTTAGATCCTCCTCAGCAAATATGAAGATGCTAAAGAAGTCAAACTCTAAACCTATCTTATTCACAAAAGGAGAACTGTTTCATTCAACAAATAATTTATTGAGCACCAAGTATGAATTAGATAGTTCAGTTCTGACCTCTGACATCAGAGGGAATGTCGGAAACCACATAGAAAGTGGCCAAGTCACGAGGTCCTAACAGCTTATGACAAGGTGTTTAGATTTTAATTAAATGTGATAGGAAGCTCTTGAAGCTTTAAGCAGGGGAGTAACATGACCTGATTTGACTAAAAGACCACTCTTGTTGCAGTATGTGGCAAAAGTGGAAGCAGGAACTCATAGGTGGCTTTTGCAGTGGTCCTGGGAGAGAAAATGGTGGCTTGAACTAGGGTGGTGGGCAGGGGGTGGATTCTAAAATGGTCAAAAATAGAGGAAGACCAAGTTTTAGAGGGATCACATTTTAGAGAAGTTCCTTTCCTTTTGGTTATGTTGAGTTTGAAATGTCTGTGTAACTCCCCCAATGGGTGAAACTGGGGATTCTGGAACTCAACATGGAGGGTTTAGGAGGGAGGGAGGGTTGTTCCTGAAGATGTGCATTCAGAAGTTGTCAGTATATACTAGTAGATGGTTTTCAAAGTCATGGGCTTGGATGATAACAACAAAGAAGAAAGTGTAGTCAGACAAAAGAATTGGAATCAGGACCGAATCGTGGGGAACGCTAACGGTTTATATCAGCAGTTCGCAATCTTAGTGGTGTCACCTGAAGGACTGGATAAAACACAGATTGCTGGGCCCCACCCCAGAGAGTCTGACTCAATAGGTCTGGGATGGGGTCCGAGAATCTCCATTTCTAACAGGTTCCTAGATGCTGCTGAGCCAACTTGGAAATGGAGGAAGAACAAGACAGACTGAGAGAAGTGACAGCCAGTGAGGTAGGAGGGAAACCAAGAGGGTTCCAGAAGCTGAGAAGAGTGTGTTTCAAGAACGCAGGAGTCAACTGGGGAGAGACCGAATAGACAGGAAAGAGCCCACTGGAGTTGGTGACATGGAGGTCTTTATGGGGACTTGATGGGAGTAGCTTCAGTAGAGTGATGGGGACAGAAGTAAATTAAAGAGGGAATGGAAGGTGAGGGGATAGAGACAACTCTTCTGAGTTTTATCCAGAGGGGAGCAGAGTATTGGGCAGTAGTTGGAGGAGAGTGTAGGCGACAGGGAGGGTATTTTGAACTCTCACAATGAGGGATCTCT